ATCAGAAAAATCAATATTGTTGATAGAAATTATGATTTTGATCAATGTATAGAGTGTGAATTATGGAAACCATTGAATTGAAATATAAAAAAGTGAGTGATTTTGTTTTCAAAATATGACATTAGCTTTTATTTAGTTTAATGAAGTAGTACAACAGAAAACTTGGAATTACTTTAACGTGATTGTTTTAAAACCTGATAGTTTAGTGAGTTTGTATATATATATATTTCATAATAGATCACTTCCGCTGAATATATCGCATGACTAAATTATTGCCATTGACTCAGTATTGATAAATAGATAAATAATTGATATAAAAACAGGTAATATTTATCGCAGTTTTTTCCTATCATCAGCCACATTCTAATATAGAATAGTGTTAGCAAATTAAAGTGATACCCCTATTGGTAAACACACGAATAAAACATGAATTGACTGGAAATGTTAATCTTATGTTTTTATACGTATTTATGCGTTGTATTTAAAATTGTTGTTAAGACTTGAGTTTTACATGAATCATGTTTGACGAATGTGATAAATTATATCTATCGACATATGTATGAATTTAACTCAGAAAAGATTTCTCAATAAATTTGTTAATGATTATTATTATTATTATCAGTTATTTATTATTACTCAATAATATCTGCACAACAAATGCCATATTTTCTCAATATTTTCAATTGTCTTTTCTAATTGTTTTTTCTCGATTCATCCAAAAAATGATATTTATTTACTATATAAACAGTATTGATTCGACAAATGCAGCAATGAATAAATCTTTTATCTATATCAAATAATTTAAAAAATCATCAAATTTTTCTCCCTGATCCTGATGAAGGTGTAAATGTATTTCACTTTTTAGACTTATAATTACATCTTAGAATTGTAGTCTCAATAAAAATTTACCAAAAAAACTAAAAAATTAGTTCTGCATCAGTCAAGAAGTATCAAGCCAATTTTGATAATTACTTAGACCAGACAACTAAATTATCGTACAGTTTCAATAAATTGCAACTTTACATAACGAAAATAGTAGTATTCGCAAATGAATTACTAGAAAATTATATCGAATTTTATTTTCTGTTTGTAAATTCAGAGATTACTCTGTAAACATTGATGATACCTAGTTCTGTATAGTGTCAGCCTTGGTAACAATAGTTTCTGGTATTTTTTAGATCCCCAACGTGATATAATTTTAGTTTTTGAAATACATATATTTAATGAGAAATTCTCTTTTTTTTGTATAGAAACTCATATATTACCAGAGTCACTAACATTTATTTTATTCTATTTAAGATCTATTATATTTAGGTATTAATTTTTATAATATACTGAATTACAAAGACCAGTTTCAACACGATCAACGATTAGAGTATAAAAATGACAATCGATATCAACAGGAAAAAAACAAAGAGAATCAAATACACTACAACTCACATCAGACACAATCTGAATCACATATAGATTCTGCATGATTTTTATTCACTCTAGTGCATTTTGTGATGTCACTGAGTCTCATAGGGCGAGCTATTTATATATTCTACTTGCAAAAAAACCATGAAAGTTCTTTATTTAGTCATATAAGTAAACCTAGAATGACGCATTTCAGAACAAATATTTTAGTCTATATATATCTTTCATAACTTATTTAATATGAGTTTTCTTCAGTAAAAGACTGCTTGACAAATATTTATAAATTCATATTTTATATATAGATGAAAACAAAAATATTCCAGCAAAAAATTCTATCATGAAACTAGTGTTGTAATGTAGAATGAAATTACAACTGTTGAGTACAAAATATGATAGAAGATATATATATATATCTATTTTGATGAATAAATGATTGATATAAAAGAGTTTTCTTTGTAAAATAGTGTCGTTTGCATTATTTGTTGTGTAATATCATAATGACTTTGGTAAGGGAGAAAGAGAGTTATAATCTCATTGTATATTCAGTCATCAATCTAGTGAATATTCGCAAGACAATAATTTGAACTTGGAAAAAGTGCATCATGATTGAATGAAAAATATTAGTTGATTATTTAATTTAGATGTGATAATTATAATGTTTTAATTGTAAAATAAATGCATCAAAAAGGTTAGTGTGTTCAGAATATTACTAAAATTGTTGTTAATAATGATTTTGTATATGTTTCTCTAACGATCAATAAGTGTTGTTAAATCAAAGGAATAAAAAAAATTACGGTATGGTTTCTATGATTCAGATAGTGTGCCTTCGTATGTAGCTTTATGTAAGTAGACGAATAGTATGGGTTTTGAGTGAGTTTGCAGTCATTTATCGTTTTCTAAATCATGATGACCTAGTGAGTCATATAATTTCTAACTATTTCATAAGTAGCTAATTTATTATTGAATTCTTTTTTAGAAACAGCAAATTGGTATTGCCGATATTAGTCAAATTGTGTCGATATTTTCACATTGTAACTATTAAAAAATAACAGACAATTTTACAAGTATTCGATCGTTTCAATATTTCGATAATGTGTCAATATTTACGCTGATAAATATGTTAGATATTTTCTTTCTCATACATTCAATAATATTCTATCAATGCATTCACTTGTGTATCGATAATAATATTCTTTGAATGGAAAAGAAGACTATATGACTTTATCTTTTGATGAACATTGTCTGATAATAAAGACGAGAAAATAGATGATATATAATCAACAATAAATAGTGAAAGAAATAACAAAATTTTAATCAAATTCTGATAAATATTACAATAGTGTCTAACCTGCAATTTGAATTCATCTACCTAACCATTTACTTTTGTCTTCTTATATGTAGATCTGCTCCCGAGAGGCAGACTCCCACCATCACTGAGACTCTTTCTTAGAGATGTGCATCACACTTGCCGGATAGTCACATATATGAATCTCAAATATTTATTTTATCCGTTTTATTAAAAAATTTAAAAGCTTGTAAAAATATTATTCATGTAGTATTTGTATTACTTATTACATAATAAAAAACTGTTATTAAAAGTGAATAACAAGTATTAATCCTGGGTCTTAATCCAACATCTGTTTTTTCTTTCAAGACAAGTGATAATAACTGTCTTGAATACTGACACTAAATTTGAATATCCAGATTTAACTAGTAATATCGATCGAAAAACATATCTTAAACATAATAATGGTTTATGCCGTAAATATGTACATAAGATGTAAACTTTATTAGACATACACCAGTTCCAGTTCTGACTGGTGTATATCAAAGGTTTTTGTGTAAAAAGTCTGAAAGAAAAAAACTTATTCAGAACTGTTCATATAAAAGATATAATTTGACTAAAGCAACAGTTCATCAAGTCTAGAGTATTCATTTTCTTTTGTTTTTGTAGAACCTTGTAATGGATATGACCAGATCATTTTACAGTTACTGTCAAAATATATTTTCCATTATTTCGGAGAATTAATGAAGTTCTATGATTTTGTATCGTATTTAGACAAATGGAGAAATCTGCGATATTTAAATCAACAGTATAAGTTTTCTTCTTTCATCGTCTCTAGGCATCTTCATTTATCGGTACTTATACATTTTTGTTATTCTAGGTCAAATTCAATGTTCAATATACTGAAAGTAACAAGAAACTATTTCTCTAATTATTGTTGTGTTTGTAATGAATACTTACTTAATCATTTCTTTTATTTTTTTTGTAATATTTGGTTTTGGAGAATATAATTAAAACTGTTACTTAATATGTTGCTAAATAACAAAGAAACGGCAGAAGAGAGAGAGATTAGTTAAGAGCAGAAACTGTGTTTTCTTAATACTCGAATACATAACAGTATTTTACTGTTCATTCTAAAATCAGATCGAGACAATGGTAGATAATAATAAACGAGCTTTTTGGCATTTTACATTTAAAGACATATTATCTATTCTATGTTCAGCTGCTATACCCATAGCTCTTGCTATTTATACTGCAATTGGATCTCAACAACAAAAACAACAAGATGAGAAAAAACAAAATTTTGATTTGGAACAATCAAAAGAATTAAGACAACAAACACTTTATGATGAATTTATAAATAATATTTATAGACTGGAGAAAGATGGTTATCTTAAAGAGAGAAAAAATCCATGGGCATTTGCAAACGCATATTATCGTGCTGCTCATCTTCAATGGGATACAACACGTAAAGCATATGTTTTGCAATTTCTCAAAGAGAAACAATTAATTGGTAGAAATAATTGTACTAATGGATGTCGGACAACAAATCTAGATGATATAATCCGTTTGAATAAGTTAAATTTTGATAATGCACACCTAGTAAGTCAAACTGGTGTATTAAATCAATTGGATTTAGAATGTGTTTCTTTTGATCAAGTCTCAATGTCAAATGCAATATTTTCATTCGTTAGTTTAAATGGTGTATCATCTGATGGAGGGCGATTAGACAAGGTGAAATTTGATGGTTCGTCTTTACTTTGTGCTAGGTTTAATAATGTAAACCTGTCTGGTGCAGATTTTGGGAACTCTGATCTGACAGGTGCGCAGTTTTTAAACAGTGATTTGTCGAACGCCATATTAACGGAAGATCAAATAAAACAGGCATATTTTTATAATGTAACTATGCCAAACGGAGAGAAGAGTGAAACTATAACTTCAACGACGACAAAAAAACCTATAATAAAAGCAACAACACCAACAACAATGATAAAAACAAAAATGTCGACAACCACATCATTATCAACAACATCACCGATAGTAACGCCATTATCATTAACAACAACAACATCATCATCATCATCAAAATCATCAACATCCACTACATCCTCGACAATAACACTATCATCCTCATTATCATTTTTATCAACATCAACATTTACTACATCATCGACAACAACACCATCATCATCATCATCAACAACAACGCCATCATCATCATCATCAACAACAACAACGCTATCATCATCATCAACACCAGCAACAACAACATCATCAACACAAGAAATATCATCAACAACAATAACAACATTATCAACAACATCCTCATCAACAGAAGCAACATCATTAACAGCAGCAGCAGTATCATTATCAACAGAAGGGATATTATCAACAGCAGCAACATCATTTTTGTCTGCAGAAGCAACATTATCATCAACAGAAGCAACATTACCATTAACAGAAGAAACATCATGGACAGCAACATCAATCGGTCAGTAATATGCCACAAGAATCATAGTACCTTTTTTTGGTTGCTAATCAATCAGTTCTTGTTCAGTTTCAGAAACTATACTCTTAGAAGTCTTTGTTTTTAGTTTGCTGAATATGTTTGATGGTAATAAGTAATTTTTAGACAATATTTCCTTTTGAATATGATTTTAAAAGCTAGTCATATTATATGTTTGTAGTATTACTAAAATAATTTCATTTACGTCTATCTTTATGCGATAGATTTATGTAGAATGAAATCCAGAATCTTTTAAGAGAGAACTCAGCTCAAAGCTACAAAAATTAGTTATAAGTCCACGAAATACAAAATTTATTCAGTTTTAACTTAATATATAGATGTCGACCTTTGTATGTTAGATTTTACTTTTCAATAGATGATAAAAGAAACAAAGACTACAAAGAGACTTATACATTCTGTAAAAAAGTAAGAGGACCAGTTTTATTTCCCGTGGACTCCTCTAGTTCAGTTTAAATTTCTCATGTACAATTTAAGAGGGATCAGTCATTTTCATTTTATACCCTGAGATATTCTATGTCTGTTCGTTTGAGTGAAGATATTTTTCAATGCACTCAAATAAATCAATCTTTCATATGGTTGGAGTATCTTCTTCGAATTCACTTGGTGTTACTAAAATAGAATAGAACTACGTTTTTAATGAGGTTCCATTGATATTTTAGTGTTTTCTGATAACTATACTTAGTGAAGATCTAGTTTAGTGATTGTTGCAAAGTGTTAGCTCATCTCAACATGTATTTATCAGAATACATTTAGAATGTCACAAAATTAATTTTGTATTGAAAAGACATTGCAAAGAATGATGTCACATGAGCAAACGAATGCAGAAGAGACAAATGTATCAAGTGAATTCGAAATTGATAACTGTGCTGATGTCAAAATAGATTAAACTGTCGTTCGTAAAGATGAATAGAATTGGAAAAACGATATTATTAGTGGTATTGCAGAAGATCGTAATTAGCCAGAAGCAAAGCGGAATGATTTTATTGGTCTGCTTTCAATTGAGATGAACTCTTGCTGATTAGATAGAATAAGATGATGAAATACTGATTTTAAATGATAGCAAATGTAATTTAAATCTTTTTTTCTTGTTTACCAGCGTGCAATAGTATGTTTCTTAGTCGAACTATTTACTCAGTTGGCGTAAATCCAGTATCAATAGCAGTAGTGGATGTAAACAGCGACAATAAACCCGACATTGTTACTGCAAATACTAATTCAAGTGACATCAGTGTTCTTCTCAATACAGGCAACGGCACTTTCTCTCGTCAAGTTAAGTACTCAGTGGGTACATATCCATCGGCCGTAGCAGTGGCCGATGTAAACAGTGACAACAAACCCGATATTGTTACTACAAATATTATTCAAACCAGCATCATTGAAACTCGCAGCACCGTCAGTGTTCTCCTCAACAGAGGCAACGGTACTTTTTCTCGTCAAACTAAGTACTCAGTTGCTGGATACACATCGGCAATAGTAGTGACCGATGTAAACAGCGACAGTAAACCCGACATTGTCATTGCGAGTGGGGAATCAACCAGTTGGCTTTTTCTTAACCGCATAAACATCGTCGCTATTCTTTTGAACAAAGGCAACGGTACTTTTTCTTCTCAAACTAATTACTCAGTCGGCTTACAGCCAGTTTCAGTAGCAGTAGCCGATGTGAACGATGACAATAAACTCGATATTATCACTGCAAATAGTGGTTCAGGCACTATCAGTGTTCTCCTCAACACAGACAACGGCACTTTTTCTCTTCAAACTACTTACGCAGTTGGCGCAGCTCCACAATCAGTAGCAGTAGCCGATGTAAATAGTGACAATAAATCCGATATCATCGCCGCAAACCTGAGTGGAAACACTGTCAGTGTTCTCCTACAATGTTAAAATTTATTTCTTCATCATATTCAACATCCTTATTGACATTTCCTTACTCTATCAAGAACATTATCCTATGATTAACCACTTAACAATATGGAACAAATAACAATGTTCGTTCGATACCAAAACTTTTCATAAAATTTTTCCATTATTAATATTTTACTCAAACTTATTAAGGCTTACACTTTTAGCTTCTTGTACTGTATTTTTGCTTGAATCAATGGAGACCAAACTGATCCTATCTTTTGACGAAAAGAGTATTCTGAGTGGGTGGGTGTAGGTATGAAGAATCACATCAGTATCTATACATCCACAGTCACACCCACACCCTCATCAGACTCCATAGTACTGGAAACTGATGAGAAGTGCCGACTATAGTCGTCAATTGATTAGTTTGCAAATTTAATCACATTTTATGGTTACTTTTCATTATATGTCATTTATCACTAATAAATATATTCAATAAAACACTTCTGTTTGTAGATATTGCTCATACTGAAAATAGTCTTAAGAGAGCCTCTTTAAGAAAGCCACACCTACACACCATCTGTTATGAACGATAAAAGAGAATCGTTCTCTAATAGAGAAGAATATTTCATGGTATCATTACCTCACAACACACATTTATAAGTAAATATTAAAAGAAATCGATCAAAAAACAATATCGTGGTCACAAACAATCAAGTACTTACGATACTAAATAAAAAAGATTGAAGTATTTATATGCTACATTGGGATATCTACTAAACTATTCATAGGAAAAATTTTGTTTATTTATGATGAGTATTGAGAATAATTTTTTTCAGTTTAGTTTTTTGGTGAAATTTTCGTTCGATTCAAAATTGTAGTTTCGTCGTCTATCAATCGAATTGATAAGAGCCGGTCAGCTCGTAAAAGTATATAATGCGGATGAAAAATCCTAAAACAAAATCTATGTGTAATATAACATACTTCCTTTACTCGTTTTGTTTCTATTGTTTAGTGAATAAGTTTGTTTATGTATACGTTATAAAATATATTTGTTGAAAAAAAAGTCCGTTGATATATTAAGAATTATAAAAAAACACGAAATATATTCATTTATTCATTTTTCATATCTTATCTGTTAGTAAATGAGCATTACTTTCATTGGAATAAAGAAACTAATTTTATTTTATCTTTGGGTGTGGATGTGTGTGCTAGGTTTATTGCTAAAGCACATCCACCTCCCCACCTACCTCGCACTCACCCACCCAGACCTACATCCACACCCCACACTTACACCCACCCTCAAGATATTTCTTCAACTTAACTGACACCCTTCACACACGAAATAGCGAATATTTATATTACGCATTTTATAAGTTGAGATATTTTCAAATATATCTTACTATTCACGGAAAATACCTAAGTAATGACATACAGAAGAGAAAAAATATAGGAAAAAATCACGATAGAACACTAGAGAGGAATATCTGACAGAAAGTAAGAAAGAAATAACTATACCTGGTAATATATGTATATATGCGTAAGAAAGAAAAAGAACGAATATGTATATATAATATATATGGCACGTCTTTTGTACCATATATGATGTTACAATCAATATACAGTGACAATAGTGGCTGTTGAGCAAAGTTAATAGTATTTAAGGCTTTTCACTCATAGAACAAATTGATTAATAATTAGAAAAAAATCCAGATGGGACGGACTGAGAATCAATTTTGAATATAAAAAAAGAACAAAAAAACAAACTTGTGAAGTGTGGTTAAGAAATACACAAGGAAACAGCGAGTACTAACACAATAGAAAAACTGAAAAATCAACCATTAGGATGAAGGTGCGGGTGCATGCGTAAATAGTAAGTTGACTACTCACACTCACACTGGCACTCTCCGAGTCAAATCAGGTCAGTTCAAGTCTCTTCTTTGTACATAGTCGTGACAACTGAAACAAGTCATTTTCTACTTGACTTGGCTATCCCTGCTCATGATCATCGTAAATTGATGTAAACAAATGGGTAAATATCCATCCTTCGGTTTGTTTTTACTGGGAAAAAACCCAAAGCGAAAATTGGAAAAAGCATACGACAAGCGCTTATTGTACATCAAATTACAGGTAATAAAGCGAAAAAACGAAGCTGACAAATACAAATAGTCATACTTGATTGGTTTAGGTAGTGTACGTTGGTAGAAAGGAAAAATGATCAATGGCTATAAATACAAAGTAATATCACTCGCATGTGCACATTACAAAATAAACATTTCGATACCCGCTTGTAAGTATTCTTATTTAACTATCGATATTTTTACAATATATTAATACACGTACTACTAAAAAAGGTACCCATACATTTCGTCCTAAATGCTTTTTGTTCAATTTCATTTTGTCTCTCTACAATTTATTCTGATTATCTCTTGTCCCATTACGTTTCGTCCTCTTACGTCTCCTCCCAAAAGTTAAGTATTCACTTTTTATCACGATAATATGAATTAAAATTTAGGATAGGTGTGGTGTGGGTATGGAATGGATGCGGATAAAGAAGATATATATACTCACACCCTCCTTTATCTAATCCTACGTGTAAGATAAATCACGGTTGTCTTCCTGTGTGTGTATCTGTTATCGGTTGTAAGATCAGAAGCAGAAGTCGACACTAAACGTCAAATAAGGCTGTATGGTGGAGGCGCTAAGGGCTACTATATAAAGGTATCCATAGGCCCTCAAGGGTTATAAGCAACAGGGGTAGGAAATAAAAGGGTATGGCGACGGGAATATAAAAGATAAAGCGAAAAGAGTATAAAGAGATAAGGGTATAGGAGATAAGTAGATGACGCTGCATAGAATATAAGCGATAAGGGAATAACGGCCTGAGACCATAAGTCTTAATACCAAAAGAGGTAAAACTACGAGTTTATAATACTGTAACGTTTATCTATATGTACCATGCAAAGTATCTGACTGCCTATTACCAAATCAGTGTCAAAGCGTAGATCTGAAACTTTACAACAAAGAAAGAAGCCGTACACTATGCGCGGGCTCTATGTAATAGATACATAAATCACAATCACTCCCTTTTTTACGTAAACTTTGAAATCAGTCTCACTGTCCATACACTTTTACAAAGAATAGATTCTCTTCCTTGTTAACAAGATTATGATGATCATATATTTATGTTTTTTAGGAAGCTACTGCCATTTCATTAGCAATAAACAAAATGAATAAATCATTATTGATACTTCTCGTATGCATTGCTTTCTTTCCAACTGCTCCATGCATCGAGCTCATCGGTTCTGACATCTATTCTATGATACCAAGACGAGAAGCCGTCCAACAGTTACTACAAAGCTCAACTCGCACGCTCAAAACTGGCCATATTCACCTTTCTGATTCTTGTAAAGGTTCTTGTCGTTCTTGTCGTAATTGTGCTTCTTGTCGTGCTCCAGAAAATAATAATTAGTAATGTGGCGGACAAAAGGGCGATTTTTTCGACGAATATTAAAAGAACTACACAAACTTAATTTATGTTTATACCAGCTTTCCTTCATTATGCATCTATATCTAACTTTCTCCTCTTTATTGTTTGCTTAACCAAGAAAACTTTTTTTAATTATACTTTCATACTTAACCCTTTCTCTTTCGTTATTTACTTAATCAAGAATAAAAAGAAATCATCCAGTTGAATAAACTTATTAATCGTCCTTTCAGAGTTAGAGGAACATGAGAATTTTTTGAAGCGTTTTGAACAAAAGGGTGCATGTGGATGTATGTGTGCCGTGGAATATCAGTTAACGAACGTTTTTCTGAATGGCGCAACAGCGAATGATGTCTCACTTCTACGTATAGTGCAGGTGGACGTTCATTCACTCTATGTCACATATCATATAGCATACATCACTTCCCTTTTTCTCCTACTTCTGTCATCATTATCTTTCCTCTCGTTCTTTGCTTTTCTCTATCTCACTCTCCTTTGTCCATTTTTCTTCTTCTCCGTCGCTATCTCTTTGTTCTCCCTTACTCCTTTTTAAGAGAAATATGAGAGACGATAGTATATTGATGAGGCGATTCCTCTGTTAGTTATGGCTTCTACGAATTAGGTGTAGCTCGTTTATCTTGAGGGTGGATGCGGGCGTAGATAGTAAGTTGACTATTCATACTCACACTGGCACTCTCCGAGTCAAATCAGGTCAATTCATCAAGTCAACGCCAATTCAAGTTTATTTTTGTACATAGTTGTGGTAACTGAAACGAGTCATTTTCTACTTGAATTAGCCATCTCTGCTCATGATCATCGTAAATTGATGTAAACAAATGGGTAAATATCCATCCTTCGGTTTGTTTTTACTGGGAAAAAACCCAAAGCGAAAATTGGAAAAAGCATACGACAAGCGCTTATTGTACATCAAATTACAGGTAATAAAGGGAAAAAACGAAGCTGACTAATACAAAATAGTCATACTTGATTGGTTTAGGTAGTGTACGTTGGTAGAAAGGAAAAATGATCAATGGCTATAAATACAAAGTAATATCACTCGCATGTGCACATTACAAAATAAACATTTCGATACCCGCTTGTAAGTATTCTTATTTAACTATCGATATTTTTACAGTACATAAGTATAGATACTACTCAAAACAACATCAATGCATTCTAGTATAATTTTTAGCCTATGTATTCCCTAATTGAAAACAAAATTTTAACTGAAAAGCTTTTTAACACATCGGATGGTTCCCTTATCAGTTGGTTTCAACTTATATTGGTCAATAAAACACATTTTTTCTGATAAGATGATTTTTATAGCTATAACAGTAAACATGTTCTATCTCCTCAGCAGCAAGCCAAAAATCCGATATTTTTTTACCATAGACATAGCTAACAGTGGACTACAGGATGGGTAAAATCTCGGATGAGAAGAGTTTCAGCACCTGGGAGAATTTTCTTATTGGCCCGAAGATAATTTTCGCTTTTACTGAATAATGTAGTTATATGACAGAAAAGATTAAAATGAGTTCCTCTTACAACTGATTCGTTGAAGTCAGATAGAGAAAATCTATTCGACGAAAGAATACTGATGTACTGGCAGATGTTTAAACATGTTAAACTATGTGGGACTGATGAAGATTAGATTTGTGATAGAATATACACCATCGTCAGGCACATTACTTCAAACTTGTATATGCACTGATGAGAGAGTGTGCGGGTGACAGTAAGGACTTTGCACATTTATTAAAAAACACTGAAAAATGAGTATAAAGATTCATAAAATTATTCACATAATTCTCTGCTATTACAGAAGGTGTATTAGAAAAGAGAGGAGTAGAAGCATCATGTTCAAACATACTCGTTAATATTGTCTTGAGTCATTACATCTATCGAAAGAAGGGTAATGCGCCGAGCAGCTAAAAAAAAAGAGCAAATGTTCTTATGTTCGTTGGTTTATTATGCAACGACACGAAGTGTATATATAAATATAGTTTATTTCTGTAATAAAACTTGAGCAAACGGAATTGAGGATAGCTAATCCAAATCTGAGATTAAAATCTGCTATTTATTTTAATAAATAATAATTAACGAATAATAATATTTTTCGAAAATGTTTGATCTAAGGTAATTGAGTATAGAGAACTTGAATCTATATTCATTTATCTTTTATATTATTGATTTTCAGTTTATATATTTTTTAGGTTCTTATTATTACTACTAAATTATCATACAACTAACATGAGACAAATGTGTGAGTTTACTTTTTCAATTATAATATTTTTTCTACTTTGTTTTTTTTCCATAGGCATTTTTACTTTGTTGTTCGCCCATTTAGTTGAATTTCCTGGATTATGCTTTGATAGTGTCACGATACCAGATGAAGATCTGCGTTACTTAAATGAACGATTGCAATTACACGAACATATGAGTCCTGAAGATGCATTAAACTCAATTCTTGAATTAGAAAATTATTATACAGGACTGAAAAATAACATAAATGGTTCACCATCAGAAATGGTTGATAAAGCGTGGCATGCACATATATTAAATACAAAGATGTATTTTCGCTTCTCTGAAGCAGCATTTGGTCGATATTTTCATCATGTACCATTTTGGTCTGGTAATATGGAAATGGAAGCACAGTTTGATAACAGTATGTCAATGTTTGAAAGATTAAATGCATTAGGTGTTGAGAATATGAATGAAACTGTCTGGATGTATCAATCGAAAAAAATGACAAACGATTGCTCGTTACACTAAGACGAAGTCGATGCTGAATCATAAAAAAGACACTGCTTTCATACATACATGAAATATTGTCGCTGCATTTTTTGATGTAACATTATTTAATCATGATTTTTAGTATCTGTCATCTATACATTTTATACAGATACATACTCCTTTTTCTTTCTCTTCTATCTCCCGTCTCAATACATATTTAGTTGTTGTATTTCGACTATTGAGGGTGGTGATTTATCTATATTTAATGACTTATGGTTGATATTTCAATTAGACGCTTTTGCTGTTGTTTTGTTTTTCTCTTTTTTCTGTTGCTTTCTTGCAAAAGGATCTCATGTTGGATGAAATGAAACCACAAATGACAATACAATGTAATCTTCTTTGAGTTTAATCTGTGAAAAACTGCTGTCTGTAACGAACATCTCGTCCTGTTTGACTAAATTGATGAAATCAGATTTTTTATTCCACTCTTAGAAATTATTTCGTAGTGCATTTCTAAAAAAGACTATAGTTTTAGGCAATTAATGAAAGACCGAACAATTCTTCTGACACTTGTGACTTAACCCCATTCAATCAAACTCTTAGATTGACTTACAGAGATTTACTGTTCATGCTTTCAAACAAGTTTTTTTGTCAGGAAATAAAAACAAATTAATATAGGAAAACAGAGACAAAAACTTTTTAATCTTATAATTAATCCTGGTGATTAGTTTGTATTTATTTTTAAGCAAATTCGTTTGAATAATTATCAATGAATGGTTCCAAGTCTTCAATATTTTGAAGTGAAATTCGTTTTATAGAATTGCATTTAGGAATATGATTTAATTAGAGCCGCACACCCAAGGGAGGACTGAGGAGGCCTCAGCGGCTTATTGAGACACAAATTCCATGGAAGATTACGGCAAGTAAAATTTTTGCGCCTGTGAAAAGTACTTTTCGTCATGATGAGCCTCTCTTGGAGAATTTCTAACTACTGCATTGGATTGGATAAAGATTGATTTTTTTATTTCAAAATATTATACAAAATATTCCAAATATTAATGTTTTAGTTTTTTATTTTTGTTAGAATGAATTTACAAAAAAAGAAAAAAAGGCTTCGTGATCTATACTCAAATCCTTGTCTTAATGATATCTAAATGTTTCAGTTGTATTATAATAAGTATATTATATGTTTAATAAGAGAAAAATCTGTAAATGAAAAATATAGAAGTAAAGAATAATAGAGTTACTCACAAAAAAATGTTTTGATTGTCAATTTGTTTTTTGTCAGTGGAACATCGAAAGATAAAAATGCTCAATGTTTTTTGTTCTTTAATTTCTAATTTACAAAAATTTTTAACGATAAATTGACCTGTGCAAGTTCATTTATTTTTTTATTAAAGACTACTTCGAGAATAGTATCCAAGTTTTAATTAAGACTAGTATATTTACTTTACTGTGTAGCTACGTAACTAAAGTAAAGTAAGTACAATAGTTACTTTTTACAAGTAACTAAGCAACTATTCTTCCTGCGTATGACTATTAACCCTTCGATTACGGGGCACATATATAGGGTGTGGGTGTGGGTATCGGCGACGGGGATGGAAGAGAAGACACCCACACCAAATCAAAATTGTTTAGGAAATAAATAGGATTTCTAAATATATATGTATGTATAAAAGTATTCAATCTGTTCCTTAATTATTTTCATATATATAGGTGTTAAAAAGTCCGCGTGATTAAAAAAAAGAAGATATACATGTGTTCGGTTGCTGCTAATTAATTGTTCAAACAGACTGTTTGTTTATCGATTCATAATTAGATTCTCTCGTCAGTTTTTAAATAAAAGATAGAATAGCTTTAATTTTAACAATAGTAAGGTATTAGAGCTTATTGCCATACCTATATTTGACCCGCCATTGCTTGAAAAGAAATGCCAATGCCAACAAACAAGTTTTCTTTCAGAAATAAGAGACGAAAAATGGCTTAAAGATCATCTGGTGTCTTTGGTATAAACATACATGAGTTCCACATTTTCAGGTCCAATGGTGCTTTGCTGACTAGCCTTTTTTTTATCAAAACCAATGGTAATCGATAGTTCAGTAAAAACCCACCGGTTCAGTTTACGCTTCTTTTATTTAAATTATGTTATCTATGTTCGAAATATTGATTTTTACTCAAAAAACTCGATTTTAATTTGCTACAATTTTCTTATTGATCTCAGCCATGATCATTTTTTGGTGGCACACTCTTCAATTAATAATCAAAATCGGAAGCCAAGCCAAAATAATGAACGTAATTGTTACAGGTGGCGTTGAAGAAAATATTATTTATTGTTATGCAAATCGTCTAAATAAATTGAATAGTTTTATATATGTCGAATTCTATTCGACTATGATATAGAATTTCCTTTAGATACGGAGTTTCTAATATTGTTTATTGAATTAAGCAAAAAAGAAAAGTATTAAAATAAACAAGATAAATATAAAGAAAAGTAAATGAGTAAAAAGCTATGCGTATATAAATAAATTGTGATAAACATAACTGTTTGTTACAAGATGTCTTCTTTAGTATTTTATAATTTCATAAATTTTTGCACTCTACCATTGACGTCGTCACCAATATACATATTCATTGCTGAATCAAATGCAATACCTCGTGGATTATTTAATTGTGTTGCACTATTACCCGCAGAACCATTTCCGGCAATTGTAATACCAACATTACTGTTGGCACAGAATAACTGTACTCTATGGTTAGCGAAATCAACTACATACATATTCATATAATTATCAATCTTAATTCCCATCGGAGTATTTAAGTGAGTTGAATCAGAACCATTTACACCTGGCACACCGGCAACGAAAGTGCCTGATGAAGCACCAGGAGTCCAACGTATAACTGAATGTCCATCGTAATTTGTTATAAATAGATCATTACTTACAGATGGTAAATAATGAATACCAAATGGAGTGTTCAATGATGTATTTGTATTGTTAGGTCCGTTTCCACCAGCTACAAGAACTCCATTAGTACCTGAAGTTGAATTTGTTAAATAACGTACAACTCGATGATTTCCAGCATCCGCAACATACATATATGTTTCTGTTGAATCAAAAGTAAAATATCGTTGATAACTTAATTGATCTAATGCAGATCCAGCTGATGAATTTATACCAGCTATCGTAATTCCACTTTTTGACCCATTAATGTACTTTTGCACGCGACAATTACCCATATCAGTTACATACATATTTCCAGATCTATCAACATAAACATCATTAGGATAATATAATTGAGAACTATTTGATCCTGCTGATCCATAGTTTCCCGCTACAATCGTTGCATTTATAGCATTTTTCAATAGTTTCCATACAACAAAATAACCAGCTTCATCTGCAGCATATAAAGTATCATTCGCGTTAAGAAATACACCAGATGCTGGTACTAGTAATGATGTAGAACCAAGTACTGTAATCCCAGTTTTATTCCAAAGTAAATTACCAGATATACCTAATAATGGACGTAAAAGTAATCATTAATTATTCAGTATTTTATATTATAATCTTAGTATCGATATTCATATTACTTTCTTTTCATTATAATGTTTGGAACAGTAAATATATAAAATGACATCCTTGTAATCTTACATCGTATTATGTTATCTTTATATATATATGCACTGATCTGTACGCTTTTTAAGATGATTATTATTAATTAAGAGAAGAAGAGACAATACATTTGTAAGAGTTAGAATGGAGTCAGTTACAGAGCAATCATAGGAGAGAAGAGAGAACATGTATTGTATTGTAATGTGTTTTATATTCAATGGTACATGAAAAAAATGCTAGTTATAAAATAAATATCAATTCAATATGTAATGAAATGAGATAAAATATTTAATTATCTTCTTTTTGACTAATTACGAGCTATTGAAATATAAGAAGGTTTAGAAAATATTTTTAATATTATTGTTGCATATTAGATGAATCAATTAAATAAATAAATGTTTATTTAATACGTAAGTTCTTCAAAATCTATTCTTTCAAAATCGATATAATATGAAATTAATACAACACAAACGTAAAGATCTGCCTAGAAGCTATTGTACTAAATATCAGAATTTCAGTTATTTCCGAAAAACTTTTAAAAAATTAATATTTTGAGGATATTATAGTATAACTGACTAGAATATCCCTTTACTTACATGGATTTGTTGTTGTTGTTGTTGTTGTTGATGATGATGTTGTTGATGACGATGTTGTTGATGATGATGATGATGTTGTTGTTGTTGTTGATGAAGATGGTGTTGACGGTGATGGTGTTGACTTGATCTGATCTATATTAGACAAATGAGATTAAAAAACAGATACGATAATTGGGTAAGGCTTCGTTTAAAATTCTGCATATTTCATTCTATTAATAGTATATCTGATTATGAATGCATTATGATAAACTTTACATAAGTTCAAATATTTTTATCAACCTGACGTTTTTTATATGAGAACACGTTGAATATTTCTTGTAGTATAATTTGTATGGCGAAAACATATACCATTCAAAAGCAAAACTAATACTTTTGCATTATTTATAATATACTTACTGAGTGCTATGTATATCGCTGACTGATTCATAAATATCAAAGAAGAATTCAGATTAAATGCAATTAAAATCGAACTGTCATTTGTATAAAATAATTGACAAGTTTGATTTATTGAAAAATAATTTAATGTTGATATTATTCCATTTGAATTTATCATTTCGCATATGCACTGACTTTGTGTTATATTCCATAATGATTTATATATATTACCAATTAATATATTATTATCTCTTTTACCGATAAGAATACAATCACCAGTAGAGAATATCAGTAAAACAAAAAATATCCAAAACATCTTTTGTGACTTGATGTTTACAAATTCTTTTATAAATGTTTCAGTAACTAACATTACTGTTTCTCTTTTCTTTTTTTCATTTTCTTCAACTCTCTCGTTTAATATTTAATCACTACAAAAAAAAAGTGCTGTAGATTGTTTGCCAGGTGTCTGTGAAAAAATAACTAGTCATGCCTATTCCATATACAAAACGAGTAGAATAGCATCAGGGGAAAATAATTTGGCTAAACAAGAAGAAAATATTATCTTATTTTTTTTTGACCATTTATAGAATTAAAATCGTCATCATCGAATGAAGAGAAGAAAAAAGAAACAGTTTTTTTTGTGTATATCTAATGACTTTTTGAAATTAAATTACCTTCAAAATACTCACTCAATATTATGAAAGAAAGAAAATAAAAAAATCTGATAATTAACGAATTGCTTCAAATAAACATTTAGTCATCACATGTGTTTCTGCAATAGAATGTTATAGAAAATGGAATTTTTTTTCCTCGGTATTTCACATCTAATAGTCATCGGCGTTGCCATCAACAATAATTACGTAAATTTGATCGAATATCAAGCTTTTGGCTTTGTTCAATTTTGTCAATCGTATTAGATATTATTTTGAATTCATTCGAGGTTGTAGATATGAGTGATATATTATTAGGAAAAACCTCTAAGGACATGAGAATTATTATCTCGCTCACGATTAATTTGATCATAAAATCAATTTCTACTATACTATACTATTCAAGAACATAGTGATCGATGATCTTTTTAAAAACAAATTGATTTACAAATTAGAATATAAGATAAGTGGGAAGAGAAAATGCGTTGTAGAGTTTACAGATCACTGTTAATATTCGATAGCAACCTATTCGAGTGTTCAATTACAATCGATATCTAATGTTCATCTATTAAATATCAACTGAAAATAATAAAACTTGTTTGCTTGTCAATAACATTCTATTAGAAGAAAAATGTCTCTTAAATCTTGTCTGCATATTATTGAATATTTTATTAATTTCTTATTTAAATATTGCATTCTCAACCGTTTACCTATTACAATATCAATTAGTTTCATGATATAATACGAATATGGCTATGCAAAATGAATAGTATAGCGCAAAAAGGAAGATAGGAAAAATATGGAAAGAAAAAGAATAGTTTTAGATTTTATATATAATGATCATTCTTTATAATAGAACTTCATTTATTATTTGTCATAAAAGACAATATGGTAAGTATAGTTAATTCCATCTGTAAACGAAATAAGACGAGGAGTACAAAAGAAACTACTATTGATGCTTGGATTCACTTACTAATCTTTATTATATTACCTTTAACTTTGATGATGATTATTGTCACTCCTCTAGACTAAAACAAATATAAATTTGAACATTAAGACAAGCTGTAAGCTACCTATTATATTATGTATGAAAGTATTGGTTCTGTTCCTCAATTACTTTCATATATATATGTACATATATACATATATTCAATTCATTTAATATGAATGAGTTTATCAATGATATGAACTATTTTTTAATATTGAAACAGACAAAGTAATTCATTCTATTGATAAAATAAACTTTTTCTCTCCTTGTATGCTTCTGTTGATTATCTTTCTTTCTTTCTTATCTAACACAACGAAACTCTACTTGTTCAGCCATAATAATATAACCGTGTAGGTCTTTTCTACAATACATACCTCTTCAATATGTACTGTTTACATTACTGATGAGTCTTACTGCTCATATTGTGTTCCTAGCAAGAACAGAGTTTCAATAGATAAATTATCTTTTTCTTCGGTTTTATTGTATTTTCAAAAACAAACACAAAAACAAATTATAATTTCTTTTTCATGCGTTCGAGATTTTTTCTATACATTTTAAGATTAGGATGATTTGTTGGTAATGATTGCTGTCCAATTTGTACAGCATGTTCATAAAATGAATGCGCTTTTGAATAGTTGCGCATATTCTGATACACATTGCCGATGTTGTAATAGGAAGCACCCAAATCAGGATGATCGGAAGGAAGTGATAGTTGTCGAATCGCAAGGACTTTTTCACGATAAGAAAGTGCCTTTGCATAATCACCCATGTCGTCATACACATTACCGATGTTGTAATAGGAAGTAGCCAAATCAGGATGATTGGAAGGAAGTGATTGTTGTTCGATTGCAAGGGCTTTCTCATAATAAGTAAGTGCTTTTGGATAATCATGCATGTAGTAATGCACCAAACCGATGTTGTAATAGGAAGCACCCAGACTAGAATGAGTGGAAGGAAGTGATTGTTGTTTGATTGCAAGGGCTTTTTCATAATTAGGAAGTGCTTTTGAGTAATCACCCATGTTTCTATACACAGTACCGATGTTGTTATAGGAATAAGCCAAATCAGGATGATCAGATCGAAGTGATTGTTGGCCAATTGAAAGGGCTTTCTCATGAGATAAAAGTGCTTTTGGATAATCATTCATATTTCTATACATAACACCAATGTTGTTATGGGAACGAGCCAAATCAGGATGATTGGAATGGAGTGTTTTTTGTAAGATAGCAAGTGATTTTTCATAATATGTAAGTGCTTCTTGATATTCTCCTTGATCATCTTTGATGGAACCTAGTTGGTGATAAATAGATCCCTTGTTACTTTCATTTGTTGTTTGATGAACTAAAATTTCATAAACTTCTTGAGCCTTGGTAGATTGACCCATTTTCCTTAACATTAATCCTAATCTCTCCCATCCTTCGTTATATGGAGAAGTCTCTTTTCGAATACAATCAGTAAGAGTACGAAGATCTTGGTCATTGTCACTGGTCGATGTTAAATTCACTTTATAGAGGTGATTATTTCCATCTATTGGTTGAATATCTCCAATACGAAAAATAGTATGCATAGAGAAGAGAACTTCATCTTCCTCATTAAAATGACTAACATCTGTAATAGAAGCAAATGGAGCTGTTGAATCCGTTGGATTAATTGATATAATAAATAAAATTCCAACGAGATCAGGATTTGTAGTAGCTTGTTGGGCAAAATAAAAAGAAACATCATGATTTTTACTGGTTGATAAAAAACTATTGAATGAAAGAAGTCCACCTTTACTATTTGTCATTTCTGTGAAATCTTCTTTTGAAAGACCTTGTCCACGATAAACTGTAAATGTTTTACCAGATTCAGGACTATCAGATTGTTCCGAATGGAGTCGTTGAATATCACGATGCAGGTCATTAATAAAGAAACCCATGCGAACAATTATATCAGCATTCATTGATCTTAATGCACAATTAAGCATACGATACAAAAATGTATCCCATGTATACCACCATATGGGTATCTTGTTTTTGTATGTTGTGTTGAATTCATCCACATTTTTTAGTTCATGTTCATCATCATCATATACATCACGACAATAAGTGATAAATTCTTTAATATGTTTGTCTTCGAAGGTGATGCTTAATAAGATCTCTTTCAAGATCTGAGTATACATAAAGGATGGATTTAATTGATCTAATTTCTTGTTAGATGCCGCAAAGCTGACTGAGATGGCATTTTGCTCACATTGATGTGCAGTTTGTTTGAGAGCTTCACAGATTGATGTTACATCTGTGAAGACTCCTTTTATTTTAGGCCATTCTTTGGCCCATTGTTTATGCCATTCTTGGTTGTTGCAAAAAATAAATATGGTATCTACTTGAAACATAGTATGCACATGAGGCACAATATGCTGTCCAAGTGAACCAGAAACAATCATACATATTTTGTTGTTGGTAATTGTTCGAATAAATTCAATACATTGTTCACCATCTGTAAATGTGTTTACGTTGTTAACTGCACATTTCAATTGTTTGATTGTATTACTACAATCAGCATTATTATCATTAATATTTTTGTCCAACCAAATAACGAGGACATTTTGTATTCTTTGCATGTTAATACGTCGATTTGCAACTACATCTTTGGAAAAGTCTGATATGTGTTTAGCATTAGCTTGTGTATTGCTTTGAACAGATGTTATTGATCTGTTGTTACCCATTGTTTGTTTTAATGTAGATTACTTCAAGAAGAAATATCTATAAATGAATAAGAATAATGTGCCATTTAATAGTATAAGAATTTTCTTTTGAGATCGTTCTTTTTATCATCATTTACATTGCTCTCTCTGTTATCAGGATATCACTTAGTTTTGCATGTTTGTTAAATATACGTCACTGACTCAACTGGGGTCGAATTCTACCTATATTTTTGAAAAACCCTATATTTTGTGCTATATATATATTGTTCGTTTCTCTTATTTTTCCTATATTGTGTCGAAAAAAGTGAGAAACTGTTCAAAAATCAGTCAATCCTATTATAAATAGCTTTTAATCATTGGAAAATTCATATATCTACCATATAGTCAAATATTTTTGAAGAATGAGTGTATAATATCGACATCAGTTGTAAATAGATGATATATTTCCGTTTTCGCTTACTAAATCGATTGACTGAAAACTCCTCCGTACTACGTTAAGTAACCTAACAGAAAAAACTAGTTTAAAAAATAATCATGTACTCTTCGAAACTTTTTACTGATGTCTTACATACTTATACATATAGGTTTATACACTTATACTGAATATATATTACATTAACAGGCTTAACCCTTTGAAGACCGACTTATTTTGAGAAAAAATTAAACTTACAAATTGAGGAAAGATTCAAGTCGTCAGACTCTGTTTCTAATTCTGATTTTGAGTCGTTCAAAATTTTTCGGTTTTCATTTGCTTGAGCGTTCTTTTTCTTGAAATTACCTTATGTAGAATGAAAGTGATAGAACACGAACTGTGAACTTTTAATTTATCTGATTTTATCTTTTTTATTAATCTCTCTTTATAACGATATGAGTGCTATATGTAGGATAATAATAGGAGAGGAAAATTCATTAGGTGGAAAGATTCCATAGATGACGAACAGGAGAATAAAATCCATAAGACTAGTTGAAAGAAAGAGAAGCAGAGGGAAAGGAAAAGTCCAACACATATATATATATATATATATAAGACAGAATGGAAAAATCCACGAAGCATAAGTGAGAATAAGGAAAAAGAAGATACTGATCATAACACGAAGGTTTAAGACAACATTTACTTCGAAGAGACGCGAAAAAAACTCGGATTCTTACGCATAAGACTACATGAAATCTCAATGACACTTTAAAGTGTCACCGGTCTCAAAATAGTTAAGAAACGAAACGATATGACGAAGAAAGCCAACAAATAAAAGTTTTTTTCGCTGTTTTCTAAGAAATAAGATATGATAAATAAAACATACTTGTAAAAACGTAACGGAGTTGTAAACAACAAATGAAGAATCATACACGAATAAATTACATATACTTCCATTCATCCATTATCTCTGTCACACCTTCTCTCATCCTCTTCTATAAATATTGTTATGCATATATATATATATATATGTATTTATACACGCGAGGTCGTTAAACGATATTGTAACATTTTTTATTTTATTATTCCTTTCTTTTATCTTCTCCTCTTTTCATA